CATCCCCAGTCTCACCCCAGAACAACTATTTAAATAAAGAAAAATAAAAACTGAGTTAATGACTCAAGCAACAGGGATCATATTTTGTGAAGTGTACTTATATATTTGAGAGAGTAAAACACAAGTTATTTGAGTTAAGGACCCAAGCAACACCAGGTAAATCTTCTAGTACTAAACAAGGGGAATTTTAACAGAATCTTGTCTCTTTTTTTTTTTTAAAGGGCCTTTCCTCCAAAATGTCATTTCTTTTAAAAACTGCTTACACTTAATTTTCTGTTACTTGATAAGTTGGAACATAAGAATATGAACTGTTCATCTCTATAGTCCAGTCCCAATCTACAGTACAAAAAGAACCACAGGAGCGATTTCTGTATGCATGGGCAAAGGAAAAAACAAATGTTGGCGATTCAAATTTACAGTCAACGTGACCTTAAGGAGTCATGTTAATCAAAGGGATTTGGTTGTGTTAACTGATGGATAGGCTGTTTCCCACTCTGACACTTTGAGTGCTGAAGGTGGGAGCCTGCCAGAGACTTTAAAACACCCTGCCACTAAAGACTTCTATTTAAAAACTCCCCAACATCACAGATTTCCTGACGTTGGATGGTATGCTCTCACCACCCAAATTCAAAAACCCCTTTGAGAGCCCAGCAAGATGCATTTGGGAATTTCTTCCTGTGGAGTACGCTCAAGCTCTTTAACCTTCCCTCTGAGAAATCTCTAAAAATAAAAACCTGTAATTTCTTAATAGTTGATCTTGCAGTCTTGGACATGAGCATACCAAATTGCCTGCCTTTTGGGACACAGGAATCAGATCATGGTCTTAGGTGATTTTTATTAACAGAACAAAGAAAACATACTTGGTAAAACTTAGTTGGTTGCTAGATATTATAGAGCAACTGAAAAAAATAGAGATTAAAAACACAGAAAATTGCTTCCCTGGGATTCAGTTGAAAGTAACAGTGTGTGAGGTGAAGGGGGGCACATAGGCTCACAAAGAGAAGTCCAACAAACCCCAAAATAAAAAAATAGCTTGTTCCAAGATTTAGTTCTTCCCTAGCATGGATATCACTGTTTCCTGGCTCAGCCCATGCATGTCTTCCAGCTCTGCTCTGGTCACACAAAAGCTGTGTCTAGACCAGCCAGTTTTTCCAGAAAATCAGCCACTTTTCCAGAAAAACTTGCCAGCTGTCTACACTGGCTGCTTGAATTTCCGCAAAAGCACTGACGATCTCATGTAAGATTGTCAGTGTTCTTCTGGAAATACTATGCTGCTTCCGTTCGGGCAAAAGGGCCAGTGTAGACAGCCCAGATTTGTTTTCCGAAAAAAAGCCCCAATCGCGAAAAAAATGGCGATCGGGGCTTTTTTGCGGAAAAGCGCGTCTAGATTGGCACGGACGCTTTTCCGCAAAAAGTGCTTTTGTGGAAAAGTGTCCGTGCCAATCTAGACTCTTTTTTCCGAAAATGCTTTTAACGGAAAACTTTTCCGTTAAAAGCATTTCTGGAAAATCATGCCAGTCTAGATGTAGCCAAAGACTACAGCAGGAAGGTTCTGCTTCCAGTTCAAAAACCCACATTCTGTTTTCATTTCATCTCCTGACTTCCTGCTTCCGTGACGTTTCTGGAGACACTCTAGGACCCACTGTCTCTGGGTTTTAACCCTTACAGGCAATTTAGGTAACTGAATGGCTTTGACACCCTATTCGTCACATATGCTCTTCATGAATGGCAGTATGGTCTTGAGGATAGGCACAGGACTGGGCTTCAGGCAACTTGGATTTTGTTCCATGTCTGCCACTGACTTGCTGTGTCACTTTTCTGTTCCTCTGTTTCCTCTCCCATCTTTTGTCTGTTAAACTGCTAACTCTTTAAGTTAGGAATCACCTCTTACTATGTGTTTGTATAGCACCTACTACAATGAGGTCTTGATCTTGGTTAGAAGTTTTGCTTTGGATAATTTTCACTAAAATTACTAAAATTCATATTTCAACTCTTTTTTGAAGAAGACTAAATACTACATGCGATTATACATGTCTAAATATTTATAACTTTCAACTATTGTACATTCAGGTTTCCATGCCACAAGTGCAAACTATAAGATACAGATGGCTGAATTAGGAGGTTTAGCAGAAACCCTGGTTTTATCACTGGCATTAGTTGAAAATCAACTTGCTGAGAAGTTATGGGTACTTAAAGCCCTACAGCATCTCTCTGCGTCTGGTTAGTATGGTATATTCTTTTAACAATCTCATGATCTCAGATATGCTCCTTTTTATATACACCTAAAACCACTAGCAACCTGCAGGGAGTTGATTATTCAGACTTGCCTAATTCCAGGGGTAAATTGTAAACTTATGATGAAAGCCCAAGCAGCCAGCAGAATCTGTTCTCATCTAAATGATGCCGATCCCTCTGGACAGCTACTGTTCCGTTCATCAGATATCCTATGGAACTTATTAGAAAACACGTCAAAGGAAGAAGTTGTTAATCAGCTCAGTAATTTGGAATGTATATAGTAAGTACAATTAAACATTATAAAATCTGGTATTGCAATTTTAGAGCAATCTATGTAGTACTAAGATAATATGTTGCTGGGATCTGGCATGTTGTTTGTTACATAATGAGAGAAGAGATGAGGAATTCAGGTTATGCAGTTTATCAGTAATAGTTATAGGCCTGACCCTGGAGATGGAAAGGACTGCAAAATCGAGCCTTAAATTTATGCAAAATATTACTGTAATGGTAAAAAAATGAAGTACTATATAATTAGTAGTAAATAATCTTACCATATATTTTAGAAATATGAGTCTGTTTGTTCAAAAACTCCTCCTAAATGGTAAGAGCTAAGACCACCAAATTTGATATGCAGCTTCCTTTTATCTTAACATAAGGTTGTGTCAGGATAATGAGATGTGCCTGGAATTCGATTGTTTCTCATAAAATAGAAAGGGAGGGATCTGGTATGAGAGAGTTATATTGAAGGATGTACAGGGTGACAGTAAGGGGCCAGAGATGGGTATGGGAATACAGTAAAACTCCGATAGTCCGGCATGCAACTGTTCGGCACTCCCGATACTCCAGCATCAAAATGCCAAGCGCTCCTGACCAGCTGATTAAAAAGCCTGCCGCTCAGCACATGTGCTGACTGTAACCAGACGGAGCACAAGGTTGGTGCGGGGGAAGAAGGGGGGAGTGGGATTGTGTTACAGTATGGAGAAGAACGTTTTGCTTTAGCGAAGGGGAAAGGGGAGGGGAGAGGGAGGGAGATTGTGTCCTGGCCAGCTGTTAAGCCGTGCAGCTGTACCGGACCTCCTGATTCTCCGGCAAATCTGATAATCCGGCACCACCTAGGTCCAAAAGGTGCCGGATTGTCGGAAGTCTACTGTAGCTATAAACCCTTTTGGGGCAAGGTGGAGAAATGCATAACTATCTATTATATATTAGCGTTTGTCTGTGTGCATCTGTACCCCAGCTGGGGGACATGCACTCCTCCCCTAGCTGTGCCCACTGCACAACTATGGACAGTCACTTCTCACCTGGTCCCATGCTGCTGCAATGAGAGAGGACTGGGGTTGTTCTCTCCCCAGGGCAGCCTGCATACTGAACCCCTCCTTCCTAGCCCCACCTCTGAACAGTGATTTACATGAAGAAAAAATACTTATTTGAATTAAGGACCTGAGCAACACTGGACAAATCTAGTATGTTATAAAATGCAAGGCTGAGAATCAGTTCCTCAGCAACATTGCTCCATTAGTCAATGGAGTTGTGCTGATTTTCACTGAGGACTTGCCCCTTTGTTTTTAAAGGAAGTGTTTTAATTAGGCAGCTAGATGCAGTCAAGCATACCTTTGCTTGAGTAAATAGACATCTCTTTATACATGGAATTTAACACCTGTAAAATAAAAATGTGGTCCAGTGTGCTTATTTTAGCAGTTGATGCTTAAATTAGACTCACAGTGGTACATATAAAATTATCAGTTTTGAGAAAATCTTGGGAAGTTGTGGTGCTTGCAACTAACTGCATGCTAATCTAGACACTGAAAAGTCTGACATTTCAGTGGAATTTGCCTATTCTGGAGCTGCACATAAATAGAATATGAAAAGGAATATAAAACTCTGACTTTGATTTTCTTCTCAGTGCTTTGAAGGAAGTATTTGTGAACTTACTGTTAAATGGTTTCCGTCACTATGATCGCCAGCTAAGAAACGACCTCTTAGTAATAGCCACACTCATAGCAGAAAATCCTGGAGCACCAATGATTGTGAGTATTCATACTTCTGAGCCTTATAGGCTGGTAACATGTTAACTACCCTGCTCTGTATGCACTGAATATAGTCCAGAGTTACCACATTTTAGAGATTTGGTGTATTGTTACATTCAGTCTACTCTTTCTCACATGCTTGGCTATTTCTAGAGTTTTCCTTCCAGGAAGACTGTTTCTTTCTGCGGTTCCCTCTGCCTCAGAAACACTCAAAACTTTAATACTGTTAGTTCTTGCCCAATAGCATAAAGATGATTTTATAGTGAGAAAATGAAAATAACTGCAAGGTTTAACAGAAGAATCCTGTTACTGGGAGCCTTATGTTGAAAACTGTACTCATCTGGAAAATGTAAGGAATATGTTTATTACAGTAAGTTGCCTCCAAAGTGATGTAGGCAACTTACCCACATCTCTGGGAATATTTCATAGGTTTTAAGAAAGAGCTATACAGTTCCTTCTTTTACTCTCTGTTTTAGATTTGGCATCCTAAATAGTGAATAGAATTGCAAACTTCCTTAAAACAAATAAAAACAAGTACTCCTGTTGCACCTTAGAGATGAACAAATGTATAGGATCATGAGCTTTTATGTGTAAAACCCACTTCATCAGATAAGTTGGAGTGGAAATAACAGAATCTAATATGTGTGTCTATATATAACAGCAAAAGCTCACAGAATGTGGGTTGGCCACCCCTACTGTAGAGGTCTCTTGATCTTAGCTGTTACTGTGGTCTAGGTTCCAGTGCATGGGACAGTGAACCACACTAGAGCTACGTCCACACTGCAGAGTTTTTGTACAAAAACTCATGGAACATCCACACTACAAGCGCGTTTTTGTGCAAGAAAAAATACAGTAGCTCGTCAGAAGACAGGACTTTTTGCGCAAGAGTTTGTACAAGGAATAGGGTGTTTTGCGCAAGAATTATTCCTCTTTCTATGAGGAATAAGCCTTTTTGTGCAAGAGCTCTTGTGCAAAAAGGCGTGTGTACGAACAACAGGGGTTTCTTAAAAGGCACAGATGCTCTGATGGCCATTCTGTGAATCTTTGCCACATTGGACCAGTGAATGCCAGTCTTTTAGGAATACAGAATTGCACACATTTGTGCAGAATGAGATATACATTTTGATTAATTGAACTCTTAAATTACCAGTTATCTTGTCTCCTATTTCAGTAAAATGCTAAACATACTGACAAATGAGAGTTGACATTTTGGTATATTGTCAGGAAAATATTAAAGCCTACAATTAAATTCGGGTAGAAATGTAGCCATGTTAGTCTGGTGCAGCTGAAACACAAAACACTGTCATGTTTTTTGTTACAATGAAATTGTGAGCTATGATTTAACTAAAACATTTATTTTGTATGTTTGTTAGGAAAGTGGATTTACTAAGCAGTTAATACTGCTAGCAACATTTAGTGAAGGTAAGATGTCTTATATTCCACATGTGTAATATTTATTGGTTAAAATAAGTGTTTTTCCTAATTATCATCTTTTGAATTGTTTGTGTACCTTTTGGTTGTAATTTGTCTATAATTTCCTTCCCAGTTAAAAGTCCTAATCCTCTGGTTAAAGGTCTTAAACTTACCTGCAGTTATGGAGACTTTGAGCTGAAAAAATTGCTGTTTAACGTGGTCACGGTCTTAGCAAAAGATCTGTGTACAGTACCGGTAAGTGTATCCAAATTGGTTGTGTAAATAAATGAGAGGATTATATTGATCATAGCAATATCCTTTACTATCCTTGTTACTATGCTCATCTATAGGTGAGTAATTCATAATCTCACACTAGGTCTTAGCCTCAGACCTCATTGTTGGAAACCAAAATGTAGACACTGTGTAGATTGAAGCATGGAGGGTTTATTATGCTAAGCAATTGATTACAATAGATTATATGGGGAGCCAATGGGCAGAGAGAACTCTGTGCCTTATCAGGAGCCAGAGCTTTGGCCCAGCAGGACAAGATAGTGGGGTGCCCCAAAGGGCAGATAGGTGGGCTCCGTGGCATGACCACCACACCAGGGAATAGCCTAAGCGGACTACTGTGATCCAACCTGTCACAGATATGTTTTAAAAGCTTTAAGAAGGAAATTGCAAAGAGTTGAGTTTAAAACTATTTTAAAAATTATTTGACTCATCTCTTAGTTTTGTTTCATATTGACATGTAACATTTTTAAGCTTTTTCTGCATCTATTTATCTTTTGAATCTGCAGCTGCTAAATGAGGGGAAAGTGGTGCTGGCTTTGTTTCATTATGTAAAACCAAATGAAAAACCTGGTGTACATGACTGGTCTGCTGCCCAATATGAAGAATTACAACTTCATGCAATTGCTACCTTAGCTTCAGTAGCTCCATTGTTACTGGATGATTATATGACCTGCCAAGGGAATACTCGCCTCCTTATGTTTCTAGAATGGTGTGCAGGCCAAGGTGAGTTGACTTCAGACATCCATCCCAATTATACATCCTGGCCTAGAAAATACCATTCAACTATAAGACAGAAAAACTGTAAAGCTGATGAACATGGAATACAATTTTCAAAAACAGTATGTAGAAAATTCATCCATTTTCTGATGAGTTTTTTAAAAACATAAATGGGGTGAACAGTTGTACTGAAGAAAGTAAGCAACTGGTAACACTAATTCCCCTCATTGCACTGTTAGGGCATGTCTACATAGCAGATTTAAAGCTGAAATGAGCTACACAACTTGAGCTACATCAATTGTGTATCAATTTTAAGTCGAAATATTTCGGCATTTGGCACTTTCTATATAGCAGGAAGTCTGAGGAAGAGCACTCTTCCTCTGAATTTCCTTACTCCTCATAAAATGAGAGTTACAGGAGTCAGAATAAGAAGTCCTCCACTTCAACATTATGTCAAAATGACTGCTTGTAGTTTAAACACAGACTATGTTATTTCAGAATAAGGTCAGTTATTCCAAAATAACACTGCTGCGTAGATGTACCTTTAGGTGGCAGTACAATTTTCTTCACAACTCATCTAGTGCACTTTATAACTGGCCGACATTACTTTTTTTATTCAATTTGGGGCGTTTCAAGCACAGAAATAAAGAAATTTTGTCAGATGAATATTTTATGGATCAGATAAATATTCATTTAGTCTGGCAGTCTGTCTTTCCTCTTTTAACTCTCCTAGTGGAGCACAAATCTCTTTTGAAAATAGCTAGTAAGTAACTTAGGGTAACATCTACACAGCAACATTGTTTTGAAATAACTGGCGTTATTTTGAAATAACTTAGTCCGCGTCTACATAGCGGGCAGTTATTTTGAAATAATGTTCGAATACTGTCAAGCTGGAGGACTTCTTACTCCAACTCCTGTAACCCTCTATGGCTACGTCTAGACCACACACATTTTTTGAAAAAGCCTCTTTTGAAAAAGAGCATCTAGACTGCAATCAGTACTTTCGAAAAAGCAAGCTACTTTTTCGAAAGAGAGCACGCGGGCAGTCTGGATGCTGTCTTTCGAAAAAACACAGTTTGAATTACATAGCACCTTTTTTTGAAAGTGGGCATTTTTCCTTGTAAAACGAGGTTTTCCGTGGTTGACTAACCCGCCGCATTCTTTCAATTTACGGTCGAAAGAACACGGCGGCAGTCTAGACGCAGGTAAAGATTTTTCGAAAAAAGGCCACTTTTTTTGAAAAATCCTTGTAGTATAGACACACCCGTTGTATGAGGAGTAAGGGAAGTTAGAACACTCTTCCTCCATTTCAAAATGAGTGCTGTGTAGACGCTCCCTATTTCGAAATAAACTATTTCAAAATAAGCTATGCAATTGACATAGCTCAATTTGAGTAGCTTATTTTGAGTTAAGCCCTGCTGTGTAGATGCACTCTTACTGAGCTAATTAAATAATTGAAATAGTTAAAATACTCATTAAAACACACATTTGTTATGATGATAAAAATATAGTATTTTAAGATTTTGTATTAGAAGATAATTTTAAGCAAAAAGCCATTGTATAAGAAGTGGTTAGTTTCTTTGTTTTGGTTTGAAACTTGGAATAATAGCAGTTGAAAGCACAGCTTTATTTTGAATTTACACTGAATTCCAAAAGCAGATGTTCATTGTGATTTATCCACAGATCCGTTCTTTGGTCAAGGTAACTGTTTCCATGGGGCAGGTGGTCGCGGCAACAAACTTGCACAGATGCGTTACAGTCTGAGAGTCTTGAGACCTGTGGTGTCCCTTTGTGACGAAGCTGTGAACCTTGATCTTTGTGATCAGGGAGCAATTAACCAACTATTGGGTAAAGCACAATTTAATGTTGTGATATTTATCCAATATATAGTGTGTTCTTCTGTTGAAAATAATGTGTTTGGAATGTTGCACGTTAAGTGTGCAAAATTGAGAAAATTGTTTTCTCTAACTTCCTATTTTTTACCTTCTAGCTCATAAAATAGATGTACTCATTTTTATACGTTTCTAATATTGATGTACAGTCCACATTATGCCAAATGGTACAGATACTAATTCATAGATATTAATAATGGAGGGTCTTAATCAATTAATAGCTTTGACGTTTATCTGAGATACCTCCCTTTCTGTATTTAAAAAAGGAATCAATCTTGTTCATAAAACATTTCTGTCTAAACATGCTCTCCTGATCAGCAAGATCTATCCAGATCCATCCATGTTCTTGTGCTTTAGTTTTTAATCCGTGTCTCCGATTGCTGAAAGAATTCAATATATAAAGTCACAAGTAGGGAAAATTTATGAAAACAATCAATGTAAACATTAATTGATTTAATTTGTTGTGACTTAAGCAGAAAAACAGAATACAACTGAACCTCCATACTATGGGTGTCCCTAGTTTGGGAACACCAATGGTACGGAGGAGGAAGCTGCTCTGCGTGCTACTGCTCCCCCGCCCTCCCAGCTGGGGAAAAGGCAGTGCACAGAGCCGCTTCCCCTGAGGTTTTTCCCCCCCACTCCCATAGTGGCAGGGGGCCGGTGCCTGGAAGGCAGCACCAAGTGTGCCTGGGAGTGGGGCAGCAGGTAAGCGCCCCATCCTCTCCTGCCTAGACCGTGCAGTGCCCTCTTTGACCCAATAAAATCTTTATTCTGTTATACTCTTTTCACAGGGTTCAAATGGTACTTCTGTAAAGTCAAGGGACATAATTTCTAAAGTGTAAGCGTATGATTGTTATTGTGGGATCCCAGTTATGGACCCCAGTGCATGGTACTGTACAAACATGCCGAAACCTGTTCTAGTCCATCTTAATTCTTTATCTTTTTTGGTGAGAGTACTCACAAGGGTATGCAGACTCATTTCATATAAGTCACTGAACAAATGTCCTATGGTAACTTTTTTGGCCAGAATTGAATTAATTGATTTAATGAATAATAACATCTTGTTCTTATATAGCATTTTTATCAGTAAATCTCAGAGTGCTTCACGGTTTAGGATTGAAAGATTGTGGATCCCATTACTTTTTTGTATGATTCAAACTCCTATATAATTTACATGCACGATTGTGACCCTGATCCTTGCCTCCTGAAATCAATGGTATAACTCCTATTGACTTGGATAGGAGTAGGGTCAGAGATGTGAACTAGGGCCATTTTAAAGTACTCTGGCAGAGAAGAGGGACCTTAAGATAAACATAGATGTAACTCACACTCACTTTCACTCCACTTTCTCTGCCAGAGTGGTATAAAAGCACCTTAATAGAAAAACAGAAGCAGTCCTTATGCATAAATCTTTTATCTGATTAATGTCACAGGAGAAGAATAAGGAAGAGAAATGCAGAGTAAAGCTGCTCTGGTTCTGTCCTTTTCTACACCTCAGACCACTTTCTAATTCAATATGTCAGATCTACTATACTGTACTATTTTTTACTTTTAATTTTTGTCAGTTGTGAAACCAGGAATTATTTACAGAGTTCTTTTTGTTTTGTTCTACTGCACTCCTAGAAGTTTTACTTTAAAAACAAACCCAAAATTGGAGGAATTGAAAGATGGCATGATGTGGAAGATAGGCAATGTCTTATAACAAAATCTATTTTGGAGACAAAGAGTTTGATGTCTTGGAATGAAACTAATCACACGGAAGTCAGTGGAAAAACACCCATTGCAGTGGAGCCAGGATTTTCCCCTTATTTTGGATATCAAATTGTGGGGGTTTTATTTATCCTCGGCTGATACTTCAAGTGGGCTTGTCTGCATGACGAGTTATCTTGTAGGAAGTAAGGATGTGACTCTGCTGCATACCAGGTTGCTGCATTCTAACTGGCTATATGGATACTGGAATGCTGCTAAGTGTTCTGTTTATTGTACACTAAGCTGTACTCTGGCACTTTCTCTGCTCTGTAGCCACATGACAAGTACTGCACAGCGAGCTGGTATACTGTAGATTCATGTCTGCTTTACTGCTCAGTAGCTTGCTTTGTTGACAAGCCTGTAGGTCCACTGGCTTTAGTCCAGAAGGCTACATAGTCTACCCCTTAATTTTCAATGTTAGCATCTGATTTTCATTCAGGAGTTCTACAGGTTATGTGAGCTTTTGTAAAACTCAATGGATAAATCTTGTACAGCACAAAGAAATTCTGTTAGACAATAAAATACTTTCATTGGAAAGTTTTATTATAAAAATATCAGCAAAAAAGTAACTGGGTATGATTATGTTTTTCTGTGTAAAATGGAACACTCATATTTTTACTTTGTCTGCTATTCCAGATATCTTAAAGCATTTAGCAAACAATTCTAAAGACAAAGAAGATGCCATTGTACTGGAAATTCAGACTGATATATTACTTATACTGTCTACTCTCTGTGAAAATGATCTTCATAGAAAGGTAATCCTACTGCATTATTTTGAGAGAAATGTAAAAATATATTTTTATTTTAATTACACTGTCATTTCTCTTCAAAGGTCAGTATTGTTTGTAGTTCACCGCTCATGAATCAAAGGTTCTCTGACAACTAGTTTCAGTGATGATGTATTTTACTTCTGTTATCTTACTCCTAGATCTTTTGAGTAGTTGAGTGAACTCAGCCTTGACCGTTTTGCATCATCGTGTAAATAAAGGAGTGAAATTAGCTTTGTGATAGTGAAGAAATAATGAGATCAGAAGGACATTTAGGATCAAAAACTGAAAATCTATTTAGTCACTGTCAGGACTAATTCAGGGGATGTCTACACTACCCCGCTAGTTCGAACTAGCGGGGTAATGTATGCATACCGCACTTGCTAATGAAGCCCAGGATTTGAATTTCCCGGGCTTCATTAGCATAAGCCTACATGACATTCTCATAGGGAAATGTGGTCTTGGTGAATGTCCATCAGGTGGACACACGTCTAGGTTGAAAGACCATACTCAAGATGGTTCACTGTCAAACTGGAAGGATGTATTTAGCCAGGTCCAACAGGAGTCAGTCCTGGGGCTGGTAGTATTGAATATTTTCATTAATGCCTTGGGGTATGTCTACACTACCCCGCTAGTTCGAACTAGCGGGGTAGTGTAGACATACCCCATGATACAAAGAACATGATGTAGTTTTTGTTTCTTTTGAAATTTTGTATGTATAGATTGAACCTCTCTCGTTCACCATCCTCAGAACCTGACCGATGCCGGACTAGAGAATTTGTTGGACCATGGGAGGTCCATATTGTCTAGCACAGGGGTGGGCAATAATTTTTTCCAGGGGCCTTTTCAGAATTTTTTAGGCTTCAGAATGCACTGGAAGGGCCGGGGCCTCAAGCAGAAGGGGCAGGACCAGGATACTTCCCTGCTTCCCCACCCACAGACCATGATTGGTCTGTGGGTGGGGAGAGCGCCTTTGCCCCACCCATCAGCGGTTCCCCTTAGGCGCCCATGCCCCTGGTGGTCAGAGGAGACTTGGTGTGCTCTCCCTTTTGTTTTCTACCGGACAGCCAGGTATTTGCGTCCTCTGTCTGGTAGAAAAATTCAGAAAATACCAGACATGTGCAATGTCTGGTATTTTCTGAATTTTCAGCTGGGCACTGGATGGAAGCCTGGCGGGGGTAGGGGAGCGAATGGGAGGCAGGGCCGCGATTGGGGTTGGGAGCCCTGTGTTCTTGTGCAAGAGCCGG